TGTTCTGACAATGAATTTCTAGAAAAGATGTGTTAAAACAATGTGAAAACCATCTTACACTCGCATTATCTCTGTTGTAAAAAGAAGGAAGTCATATACTTTATGAAACGGCAGCGTGGAGGAGGAGGGGGACCCACTGCGTGGGATATCCAAAAAGACAAAGGGTATCAAGCAGTTTGGACTTAGAAACCAAGGATATAAAGAGCTGTAAATCAGTACATTGAATAAATGCAGCTTATTGTATTATTACAGCTTCTTGTACAGTATATTCGTAAATAGGCAGCAACCACAACAAAGGGAATCCCTCTCATCCTTTGAACAAAAACAGAAGTGTACAAAGATAAATATGGGCTGCGTCACAGGGAGTAATAGGATATAGTCATTGTGCACAATACACAAATAAAGTGTTTACAGCTCCGGTAAGATGTCGAGAAATTTGCAAATTTCGCCAACATCATATACATCGATATTGAAAACTACAGCTCCCAGAAGGCTTAGCGGACCGTATTATGATGTGCATATAATGCGGGTCCCAGCTTTAGAAGCCGCTACTACATTTTAATTATATCATTTTATTTCCCATTAAATGATGTATTACATAGTATGTATAATTTTTACATTTGCACTTTACAAAAAGTGATTGTATTTTATTAGAGCCCATGACTGATTTTTGGCGCCAATTTTAAATGACCATTTCCCTATTTAAACCCTATGTAGCCAGGTTGTACGTTTCTTACCACATTTGAAAAAGCCACATGTTGGATGTTTTACTCTGCACTTAAAATAAAGGCTTTTTTGGGGGACAAATATACCTAGGCGTGTGCCAATTTCCTTTTTAATTATTTCATAATTCTTTTCTTTTCCTTTTTTCTTTTCACCTGGCTTTTTATCATCACTCCAAAGAAATCTGAGGTGGGGATTATACCACCAAAGCTGATACCATAGAGCAGTCAGCCTGCTCTATATTTTGTGAGTATATTCTTTATATCTTTTACATATTGTTTTTACTCTACTGAGAGCACTATTGTCGCCTCCCTACTTTTATTGTCCTTTAAGCTCCAGTTAAACCTGAGATTGAGGACAGCTACTTTATATCCCGAAGTGGGGATTGTACCACTAAAGGCACAAGACGCTAGAGCTGACCATAGCTCTATAAACTGTGAGTGCATTATTATTACTTCACCATAACCACTTTTTATGATACATATTGCATTATTAAGGTCTCTCTTTCTTCTTCTCCCCATTTTATATGATTGAATACCGGATAGACTGATTATAGATACCATTCCCACGTCTTAGGAATCCACATCCCTCGTTGAATATACCATAAATATACCATTTGGTGTGAACCTAAAGGTTTCCTTTTATATAACTGGACTTCCTGTCATTGACTATATCCTATTACTCCCTGTGGCGCTATCTTTGTACACTCTCGTATCATTGTAGCTTCTTATATTATCACAGTGTATTGTTTTATTACAGCTTATTGTATTATTTCAGCTCATTGTATTATTTCAGCTCATTGTATTATTTCAGCTTAGTGTATTATCACAGCATATTGTATTATCACAGCATATTATATTATGACAGTTCATTATATTATTGCAGCTCACTGTATCATTACAAGAAAGTGTATTATTACAGCTAATTGTACTATTATACCCTGTAGCGGAGTAGCAGGGGTTAATCCAAGAGCTCTCCGCTGGGAACAACGTTTCAGCATACAAGAATACAGGAACACAGCATAATCCCCCTCCCCAAGGACTAGACGACACATAGTCTGGGAGTCAACTCAGGTCTTTATTCACAGTTCTGCTTTTATGCATTTGTCCCATGCAAGGGAGGCAACTTCCATAATTATTACAGTATCCAATCACATAGTGGTTACCTCCCCTACATCTCCTCTCCTTAGATTAACAGTTAAACTTATTAATAGGTACACAGTTTTCCCCAATTCGTACCCTAAATACAGGGGGTACACCTTTGAATGAGGGGTCCCCGTGTAGCCCTGATCTGGGTGAGCAACATACTCAAAATTCACCCAGATCGGACCAGGGGTTCGGGAGTTATTGCAGGAGGAAGATTTGACCAACCGCACGGGCACAGTAGCCGAAAATAGTTTCATGAATTCTGGCCCTGCGGTCGGTCTCTTTTCGTGAATAAAAATTCCCGAAAGTCTATGGCATCCAGGCTTAACTTGTCATTCGGATGAATCCCCTAGTTCATGGGATTCCACATACCGAATGCTGGGCAGTTCGGGTGGTTCATTCGTTACTTTAAGGCGTGCTGGAGGTCTTAGCGGTACTTGGTTAGTCGAATGACCAAGTTGCGCTGTTCGTGCATAAGATGGCCGCTGCCACGTGTTCAGTAGGCGAAATGGCTGCCGCACATGAACTCTCAATTAGCACCCTTTGCAACATTATTGCCTTCGGTAATAAGGGACACACGACCACACCGGGGTGGTCCCTCATTCGGTAGTTTACTGGTGTTCGCATAAACCGCAGTGCAGGTAGTTCGTGAACCGAGTCTCTGATAATTACTGCCTTAGCGAACATACGGCCATTATAATCCAAGTTCATTCGCATAGAAAAGTTTCTTGTCAGTCTCTTAGTGGCATGGTTTGCCACATACCCCATTGTATCATCACAGCTCAGTGTATCATTACAGCGTATTGTGTCATTACAGCTTATTATAACATCACTGGACTGGCTTATTGTAGTGATTATGGTGCAGGGAGTCTTTCGTGGTATCCTCCTATTTTCCGTTAATTTGTTTTAGCGATTTTATAGGAGATGAGACTCTCCCAGAACATAAAGTGGGTGTTTCATCTGCCACTGAGATAATTTGGAGATTCTGATTTCGTCTGATGTGTCCGGCCTAGAATAGTAATGACACGACGCGTGTGTTGGTACAGGCTAGTTAGAATGGTTATGTTGCTTAAAAACTTAAGTAACAATTGAGTGTTAACAGCAGAAAGCCTGGTTTCATAGATTTACTGCGGTAAAGTGTTAAGGGTTGGACACGGTGAATTTAAGTCTTTATTCAGCCTTTGTTTAGCATTTAATTAGATAAGATTAAACCAACTGTGTATTCAGCAGTCAAAATGTAAAAGTTCCAACATTTTACAGTTATTATTAATAAACACCTTTCAATGTCGGTGAAATCCGCACGTTTAGGGCTTTCTCTGAGGATGAATGTTCACAGCCTGCGTTCTGATCGGTCGTTTGAGGTTTAATTGTAACTCTGTGATTGATGAGCCAGCAGTGATACACTGTGCAGATCAACTCCTGCCTTGGAGTCCATCTTCAAACCCAGACATGTCTCTTCAAACACCCTGCAGTCTGGGATAAACTGGGGGAGAGCACTGTGATGGCTGGCTTTTCAGAAGATTTCATCTCAAATGTTTGATCTTAACTGGGTCATGCATTTAAGCAATGAAGAATAACAAACACACCAAAAATATCTGCAATTTGTAGCCCTCGCTGCTAATTTACGAGGGACGTCCACATTCGCTGTTTGCCTGCGCCCAACACAAACAGGAAGCAAAACACACAACACAATACAATATCCAAACAAACCACATGTGGTATTATTGCCATACACACCACTGATGGATTTTTTCAAATTATTTATTTTTGTGTGTTTGTAGGATGTGGTCAGTAAAAATCAATAGATTGTAATTTGCACTACCAGCCGCTACATAAACACGTACAGTCAACAAATCCTCCCCTGTATGTTGTTATTACAGAACAAAATGCTGCGTAAAGAATGTATAACACAGACAGCCTCCATTAAATGAGATTCTGCAAATTCCTATCGCGTCCCGCACCACTGATTCCAAGATCACATTCTCCTAATTAACTGGGCAAAAAAGCATCTAAACGGGCCTTCGGTAGGAGTAAATGTGCGGGTAATACATATTAGTATTCTGATGTTCTACAATGTAACCAATGAAAGCTCGAAGGAGTTAGGACAATCCTCAAGAACTAAAAATCTCACAAATCTTGTGGCTGATTGTGTTAGACTCTCCGCTAGCGTCCAGCGGACACACATACCCATCAGCGCTGGCATGTTCAAGGATAATTGAGTTCTTTTTTGCTGCGATCACTTTGCCCTCTTTCTCTGTCCAGCAGTTGCTTGAAATCAGTGGATCAGTTTCATAAAGCAAACTTAGGAATCCTGAACTTGTAGATTGGGTTAGAAGTCCTCCATCCCATGCGCAGGCCTGGCGTTACCCAGCCGCCGTGGCAGGAATAGTCTAGTTGTTTTAATGCTTAGCTAGAAATCAGGGATCCGGGAAATAAACAGCTCATCTGTTCATATAATATTTGCATTGTTACTGTGATATCTCCAGCTGATTCGCTGGCATTTAGACAAATTGTGCAAAACAGAGATATGTATATGTTTATGGATAAAAGGACTTTCTTTGGAATCCATCGTTCAGTGCTGTTTGTGTAACAGATAACAGCCGCGTCCAGCTGTGCTGAGTAAACAAGAAGCTACAGAAAATTTGCAGCCATGATGGGGATAGAAAGAGAGACTAATGGCTGAGCGTTACGTTAAGAAACGGGGCCTGTCTGCAATATAAATAGCACTTTATCTTTCTTATCTCTGGACCCCGGTCTCCAGGAGTTCTTATATCAGGTTATGCAGCAAAATAGCTCATTTTTATACAAATTGCTTTTTAAATGTTAGTTCTCCTGCTTTGAATGGGGCAACATATTTTAGATTGGTCTCTCAGGGTCTCGGGTGGTCCTGTATACAGAGCGTGTAGTACAGAATTCATCCTTTCCTGAACAGGTTAGTAACAGCCACTCGCAGACTAAGCTCACTCACTAAACAGGGA